ATAATTAGTTGTTTCCATTTTGTTTTCCATTATCCCCAAGTAACCTTATATTACCTATATATATATATATAATATACACCCCTTTACATATAACCCCAATATAACAACCTGGGATGCCGCAAACCCTAGAGGCTCTAAACACCGATCCCCGAACCTTACAGTGGATGGAGGGAATCTAGCACCACTTGGGATCCCGAGTTATTGAGGATATAAAGTATACTGTGAAGTGCAAGATTTTCTCCAGCCATAGTAGTACCCTTATAAGTTTCTTGGCAATCTTGAGTCTTAATCCCTGCGTCCTATCCAACTATACCGCTGAATGCACCTCAATAAGTGGCAGTTGTTCCCTTCCCCAAATTTTTATAAGGAGATTTCCATTTGGGAGCTAGGATCTCCCTTTGAGGAAGTGTATTCCCAATGCTCACTGCTCTACAAAAAGCTCTAGAACCACCCTCAAGTATTGATTTGGAGGCCCAGAGACGCTGCGCCATCGCCACCTGTAGGCTTCACGTTTGGAGAACAGTCACGGGTTTAGAGTTCAGGGTTTAGGTTTAGGGTTTGGGGTGTACCGCGCAGGGGCTTTCAGCCTAGAATGTAGGATTTTGGATTCATAAGATGTGGAGTTCAAGGAGGTTTCCATAGGGTTCAGAGGCCTTGAGAATCAGGGTGCACTTTCTCAGCCTTTTTAAATTAAGTTTCGGGTGTTGCGACAGCGTGGAATCTTTTTCGAGACGCGAAGCCCCAATTCCCAGAGTGTGGGAGGTTTGTCAACAATTGGTTGTTCATGAATCGGTCCCATTTTGGAAGTCCCCCGGATGAACGTATAAGGCTTTCCTATTAACTTTCATAACTTGTAGTCCTGTTTCTTACAAAGGCTTACATGGCCGAATTATGTCAGCTGTCCGATGGTGCTGATTAGCATTGAATCCCTGCAAGACCCAATAGAAACACCAAAGGACCTTGTACAAACCCTACATAATCACTGCAGGGCTGGTAGACTAGCTCTCACCAGACTACTTTACTAAAGTGGGTGGTCCCGCCTTTTGTGCATCCAAGTACAAAGTGCAATACCTTCCGTCATGACCCCAGTAGTGCCCAAAAACGGGCGCAATTCCAAAAGTGCCATGCATAAGATGACCTTGAAGTACACACAGCCAAAACCCTAGCCTACAATCATGGATCCTAGACCCCCCAGGCGCCCTCGCCCCCTGCCACTCCTTAACCCCTTAACCCAAAGCCCAAGATTTTAACCCGCCCGAAACCTTAAAGTTCAAAAAAGCAACTCAGACTGCAGGCAAAGGTAGCTCGGCATGGTCCAAGGCTGTGCAGCGTATGAACCGCCTGAGGCCAGAAGCTCAGCTTTTGGGTTTGGGGGGTTTGGGGTTTAGGGGCTTAGGGTTTAATATTAAACCCTAAACCCTAAACAATATTCAAAAAGAGAGTCAGGTAGGACTCTGGGCTTTTTCAGGAGTAGGGTAAAGATCTGAGCGCCGACAAGATGTATTTCGGCCAGCCCATTCGGGCCCTTGATATGTAACTGATGCTTGCTGCAACCGCAGGGAGAAGTGAATCCTACATCGATTCTCAACCTCTTGAGCAGCCAGGCTAAGGGTTCCGTGAGGCGTAGAGTGTAAGGGTTCAGGGTAGGGCTGAGGGTTCAACAGGATGACACTATGAGTAGGGTGCGGATGGTGGCTGTTTGGACTTGGCGAGGATGCTGTGCAAACACCCTCTCCCGGACAGGGCCCATCCACTGAATAGAAACAGTACGGCCTCACGAGACGCCGATTGAGTCCTACCCTGCGCAGTACTTCCATGCGGAGCACTTGCCACTCTTGACCATCACTCAGAAAGGAGGGCTCTGTCTGGGGCTACCCGTCATGGAGCTATAGATCTGACGTACTTCTGCGCTGTTGAAGGCTCATATGGCCCACCCAAGCCTTACAGTAAGTTCCCATATCCCAAACATCCATGCAAAGCTTTGAAACGCCTATGCCGGACCCTAAACCCTAGATCCCGCCCTGAACTCTAAACCCCAAACTCCCTTTCCTATTGGATTGAAGCCAGATCAGTCAAAGCAGAGTCACGCAATCCTAGAAACATAGGAGCGCAAAAAGGGGCGCGAACCAGCAAACCTAAAGTTCCGCAGTATAGCGAAGCACGGCCTGAGGCTTGTCATCTTAAAGCCTAGGGTTTGAAGGAAGCTGCCTATCGTCTCCCTTAGCAGATAGCATAAGGGGGGTATATGATATGGAGGTCATATAGTTTTAGAGAATTAACATCTACTCAAAGGGGGCTAACCTCAGAATGAGGTCGCGGAACTTGGCAGCAAGATTTTCAGGTGCCTAAACCCTAAACAAACCTAAGCCCTAAACCCTAAATCTCTCAGGAATGAGAAGGTGGACAAGATCAGCGCTTATGAAGAGGCCGGAGCCGTTAAAGCTGGTACAGAACTTTGCCGTCTAAACTCCTTAAATGGTTATGTAGGGGATTATATAGGGGACTACTATAGGGGTTATTAAGGGGCATACCGGGAGTTTAGACTATGGCTCAACTGAGCCGTTTCTGTGGCATGACCGTCATGACCTATTCAGGACTGTACTGGCGTTGTTTTTGAGAAGTTCTGTTTTAGTTGAGCCAATAGCACCTGAGGCATGTTACGGACCACACATTGATGTAATGAGTTACGGCAAGCCAACTCCTAACTGGTACGTGACTTGCGGCTGAGTCTTGCTGCAAGGGCTCCTCGCAGCAGCCGAAGAGTCTCAATTTATTTTGATTCGGAGCTCGCTTATAGCTTAGCTATACCATGTCGCCCGCCGGCGGGAGGCCGGTTGCACGGGCAGGCTTTCAGCCCGCCTTGCTTGCATTATTATGGGGGATGCTTCTGATGCAAGCGTGCATGTGGGGTAGCAGGCAGCCATTGTTCCTGGGCTACCCACTGAGCATTCCCTTGCAACCGGATGGAACACGCTCTACCCATCCAGCTTGTCCGTCTTCAGCTTCGAAAACTGCGAAGCGAGTGCGGGAGCGGAGGCAGGCAGAGCAAATTCCTCGGAGCCGTGGGCCTGATCCAGCAAGAGTGCTAACATCGAAGATTTGTGAGGCCAAGTCTGCCGCCTCAATCCTTGAACTTGTGGCTGCACAAGTGGATAATAATGTCTTCAATGACTTCCACCTGTCAGCCGCATTTACCCGGCTTGCAAAGCTCAGCAAGAGACGCCAGCTTGGCCGTGCCGATCGTGGCAGCTCTGTTTGGCCCAGGCTTGTGGCACGGTTGCACTCCATGCTCAGAGAGGACAAGGTACGCGCACGCCCGGCTGCCAACGTGTTCTGGGCGCTTGGGGAGCTCTACGACAAGGTGGATGCTTGCAATGAAGCTCTTGTTATTGAGCTGAGCAAATATGTGCAGCAGAAGGCCTCTGCCATGAAAGCACAAGAGCTCTCAAACTGCTTGTTGTGTGTTGCAAAGCTTGGAGACTCCGTGCCGAAAGTGACAGTTGCTGCGCCGAACATTGCAGAGTGTATCCTGAAGAGAGTAGACAACATGGTTCCTCAAGACCTTTCGAATAACCTCTGGGCGGCTGCGAAGTTGCAAGATGCAGTGCCGGAGGTGCTTGCGGCAGTTGCTGCTATTGCAGCTCGCATCCCCAAGAAGGTCGAAGACATGGTTCCGCAAGCGCTGTCAAACTGTCTGTGGGCAGCTGCGAAGTTGCAAGATGCAGTGCCAGAGGTGCTTACAGCAATTCCTGCTATTAGAGCTCGCATCCCCGACAAGGTAGCAGACATGGTTCCTCAGGCGCTGTCGAACAGCCTCTGGGCGGCTGCGAAGTTGCAAGATGCAGTGCCGGAGGTGCTTCAGCCGTTCCCGCCCTTGCGTCACGTATCCCTGACAAGGTAGAAGACATGATTCCTCAACACCTGGCCAATAGCCTCTGGGCGGTTGCGAGGTTGCAAGATACAGTGCCGGAGGTGCTTGCGGCTGTTCCCGCCCTTGCGTCACGTATCCCTGACAAGGTGGAGGACATGGTTCCTCAAGAGCTGTCGAATAACATTTGGGCGGCTGCGAAGTTACAAGATGCAGTGCCAGAGGTGCTCACGGCAGTTCCTGCCATTGCGTCACGTATCCCCGACATGGTTAACGATATGGTTCCTCAAGACCTGTCCAGTAACCTTTGGGCGGCTGCAAGGTTGCAAGATGCAGTACCGGAGGTGCTCAGGGCAGTTCCTGCCATTGCGGCACGTATCCCTGACAAGGTAGAGGAGATGGTTCCTCAAGCGCTGTCAAATTGTCTGTGGGCAGCTGCGAAGTTGCAAGATGCAGTCCTGGAAGTGCTTACAGCAGTTCCTGAAATTGCGGCACATATCCCTGACAAGGTAGAAGACATGAATCCTCAAGCGCTGTCGAACAGCTTCTGGGCGGTTGCGAAGTTGCAAGATGCAGCACCGGGGGTTCTCATGGCCATGCGCGCCCTATCTCAGCAACTGACTTGTCAAATTATGGCCCTGAAGCTGCAAGAGCTGCAAATGTCTGCGTGGGCAGCTTCAGAGCTTGGTGAAGATGAACTAGAAAGTCAACTCAAGAAGGAGTTGGCTCAGCGAAAGCGCTGATTCGCTCGGCAAGTACATGTAGCTCATGGCTGGCTCTATGTAACCGCAGGGTAGTATTTGGGGATTCATAAGGGGCCTCGCTGATACTCATTTCCCAGGTAAGTAAGCATCATGATTCCGATGGCCTTGGAATTTCATAAATTCTCCATGTTGATCTTAAAGGATCCTACCTTCCAACTCCTCTTCTTTCGCTTGGGTCAGAAAGGGCCAACTGAGATGATTCTTTTTGGTTTTGGCCTTGCACGGCCTTCTCTCTTCCGCATGGCACTGCACCGGCTCAGCACAGTGCTCTCTCCGCAGATGCACGGCTAGGGCTTGAGTGCGTGACTGCGTGCAGCAATGAGAAGGCCGCTTGGTCTTGACAGCGCACGATGCAAGTGAAAGAGAGCAGCGTGATGATGGGTCTAAACCCCAAAGGCTAAACCCATATTGGGAGACCTTTGCGGCGCCTTGGGGAGGTCTGAGAAAGATCCTGGTTTTCGGTCGTCCTTATATGGGGCCCTCTTCAAAATTCCTTAGATGCGGGGGTCTAGGGCAGATTAGGGTTAAGGGCCCTAAACCCCAGACCTTAAACAAGGGCTTAGGGCAGGGTAGAGGGGTTTGCGTTTGTTTGAAGGATACCCAGAAGTGATTTGTAATTCTGAGGCAGTCCCGCATGAGCGCGCACTTGTGAAGTAGGGTTATATTGCGGGATTATATAGGGATAATGTTGGGGTATAGGGGTTATATTGGGGTAGTAAATCGGGGTTATACTGGGATAATGGAAAATAGAATGGAAAATCCTATTTAAAGAGGACTTTAGTACTCCTAAGCACCTTTTCCTGTAAGAGTCCTATGCAAGTCATGGGGTCCTCTTTTTTGGGCTCTGAGCTAGCCAAGATCCATGATTTCCTAACATAAACTGCAAATCATCGGGTTGTCCTTGCTGGGGAGTATGTAGGGGGCCAATTTCAGAAATAGCTACATAAGCAATCCCAAGATATTCCACATTTACAGGATTCCTCGTAGCGCCCTTACTTGGATGCACAGGGTCTCTCCTCATCATTGGCAGTGCCCCAGGATTTTTCCGAGTATGGCTCACTATCACTACAGCAGCAGCTCCCTGTCCTCTGTCGGAGTGCACGGCTTATGCCCCAAACTCCAAACCCCAAACCCCAATTACCAACCCCGGTAAAGCCTATAAACCCCAAACCCTGTAAACTTCATAGACTCTGAACTCTATAACCCCTCAGACCCAATTCAAAACCCTCTTAATCCAATCCCTCTTCGCAGGATGCTAAGCCCCAGGCCCTAATTACGCCCAATAAGCCCTAAACCCTACAAGCCGTAAGCCTTGCAAGCCGCGAGCCCGAAACCCCAAACCCATCTTCCTGCAGGAGCGGCAAAGAAGCGTTCTGGCCAAAACCGCCGAAGCTCTAGGAGTGAAAATGCCGAAGTCTGCTGCTGAGACGTTGGAAACTACTATTCAGGGTTTAGGGCTCAGGGTTCTGAGTAAATTGGGATTATGTAGGAATGATATGGGGATTATAATATGGGATTCTATCGGGGCTATGGGGATTATTGTATGGGATTATATCGGGCTTGTATAGGAGTTCGAGGCACGCGGTCGCTTGAAAGTGCTTGGGGCTTTGAGGTGTTAGCTTTTGGGTTTTGAGGTTATGTGGCTGAAGGCTTTGGTTAGGTCAATCCCCCTACAGTAGTAGCCCCTAAAGATGACGTCAATAAGGCCTTAATGTACCTACAATAGTCCTTTGTGGCACCCAGTATTACCCTCAACCCAAAACCACCTATTAACCCAAGGTTTTGGGATGTAGGCTTTAGGTTTTAGGAGGCCAAGATTAAAGGCTTGGGGATGTCGGAGCTAGGGCTACCAGTCCTATGTAGTTTCTTTTTTGGGCTATCTATGTTGTTTAGGTAAATGATTATAGTATACAGCCCAAAAAGGAACTTTATACATAGGACGGTCTGGGTAGGTTCCATGCCCCCTGCCGTTTTGACAGGTCTAAGCCCAAAAGCTCAAATATGCTACACCAGATGACTGTAGTGAATCTGGGTTCGTGGTACCTTGGCCCCTGTTGCTTAAGACATTGGACCGTTAGGGCTCTGTCTCTTGAAGCCGTTTCTCATATCCTAAACTCTAAACCTAGCTACCTAAACCCTGAACCCTAAACTCTAAACCTAGCTACCTAAACCCTGAACCCTAAACCCTAAACCTAGCTACCTAAACCTTGAAAACCCCGGGGTTGAAGTCAAGCTTGCCGGATTCGAAGTGTATGACTTGTGCGCCTTGTGGCTCGCAATGGCTGAGCCTCACCCCGGAAGTCTGTTATATTTTTGGGTGAAGGGGCTGGAACCATGAACCCTAACACCATCAGTTACCGGGGCTTCGTAGGGAATAAGGGAATATGTGTATATATATATATAATGTGGGGATTATATTCCCTTATTCCTTACTAGGAAACCAATCAGATAATTCATTATGAGGTCAGGCCTCTTCATGGGGGCTTGCACGACTAAGCTTCCGGTCCGCACAGTCCCAGGATGGTCGGGATGGGAAAGCTACAAGGTTCCTGAAAATATTTTTAAATTTCTGTTACCTAGAATCCTAATATTTAGCTGAAATTATAATTTCTACTGGGGTTCCAAATCCCTTAGAGAAAGTCAGTCTTCAGGAGTGTTACTTCCTGCTTGCTCCTGAAGACCTGGCCGTTTAGGGGCTTAGGGGTGGTTCCCTGTTGGGGGGGGGTCCCTATAATGAGGCTTTGGGGGGTCTCTACTGGGGTCTCTCTTTTTAAGGAAACTACCATGTAGAGGAAGGCCTGTGCATACAGTGCGGCAACAATCTCAAGTATTCTTCCGTATTTTCACACCCCTCCCTCGCTTAGAAGGTCAACTAAAGCCTCTGGCTCGCATTGGTATGATTTGTGGTAAAAGAAACATCTGAGCCATAAACCCCAAATCCTAGACTCTAAACCCTAAATCCCAGGACCTTCAACCCGAAGCCCCAATCCCAAACTCAAAGCCCAAACTCCCCGACCTGGACCCCCGAAAGTATGTAGAAGAATAGCCTCCTTGATGATGTTTAGGTAGGTTAGGCCATGTTTTTACCTATGTCTGGGGCTCAGGTAGAGCGTAAATCCCAAGCCTAAACACAAAACCAGCAACAGAAAAAACACAACAAGTTCTCGAATTAAGTTTTACCCTAAACCTCTAAACTCCCCAAAAACCCCCTAGCCCTAAACCCTAAACCCCTAAACCCTAAACCCCTAAACCCTAAACCCCGAGACCCTAAACCCGCAAACCCTCAAACCCCTAAACTCCTACACCCCTAAGCCCTAAACTCCAAGGCCAAACCCGGGGCCTTCAAAGCTGGTGACCATGCGCAGGGCTGTGAATGCCGTGCAGCAGGGCAAGAGGTGCCGTTCATGTAAGGCTTAGGTGTTTTTTGGTGGCTTGGAGGTTTAGGGTTTAGGGGATTTTGGGGGGTTTAGAGGTTTAGGGCTGAGGGGGGTTTAGGGTTTGGAGATTTCTGGTTCTTAGGAATTTGGGTTTAGGGTTTCGGGGTTTAGAGGTTTAAGGCTTAGGGTTGTTTTGGGGGTTTGGACGTCTAGGGCTTAGGGTTTTTTGGGGGTTCAGAGGTTTAGGGCTTAGAGGATTTTGAGTTTTGAAGTTTAGGGTTTAGGAGTTTAGGGTTTAGGAGTCTAGAGTTTAGAGGTTTAGGGGGTAGGGGTTTAGGGCTGAGGGCTTTAGGGTTGCGGGGTTTAGGGGTTAAGGGGTTAAGGGGTTGAGGCTTTGGGGCTTTATGGGTTCAGGGTTTAGGGTGGCTAGCAGGGGGATTTATAGGGGTTAGAGGTTCTGCAGTGCTTATGTAGAGCTTGTGCAGGGTGTGAGGGTTTCATGGGGTAGGCATAGGGGCTACATTGGGGACGCGCAGGGGTCATTATTATATAGGGGATGTAAAGGGAAGGGGTTGGGTTTTACAAAACATGGGCGTACTCTTCAGGAAGCTTGCAAAGAATTATGGCAGTAGGTTTCAGGCTTAGGGTTCAGAGTTTAGGAAACAGGCTATTGCAAAAGGGAGGGGTGCCCTTAGGGGCCGCTTTGGGCTTGTGGGGGTATGTACGGAGTCGGCCCAGGTTTAGTGTTTTCAGCCCTCAAACCAGGCTTTAGGGTTTAGGGCCCTAAACTGCCCTTAACCCCAAACCCTGGAAGAACAATTGGAGCTCTTAAGGGAGTCTATACGGACATGGGAAGCTACAGGGTGTAGGGTATACGAAGCCACGGGGTAACTCAAATCCTAAGCCCTTCACCCTAAATGATAAATCCTAAACCCTAAAGCGTAGGTCTTCAAGCTATTCGCGTTGAGGGTTTAGGGACTCTAGAGATGCTGGGGAAGAAATACCTGACAGCTGGTAATAGCTATGGGGAGTCCCTACTTTCTTATGAGCAGGCGTAGGTTTAGGCCGTAGGTTTAGGGTTCAGGGTTTAGGGTTTAGAGGGTCTAGGGTATATTTGGAAGGTCAGGGGTTCTCAGCAAGTGTATATTTAGAATCTCCATAAGCCACGTTGACCCCAGTTATGCCCCTCATGAGTGCCCCACCCCCCACCCTCCAATCAGGGTTGCACAGAATTGGGTTTAGGATTTAGGGTTTAGGATTTAGGGTTTAGGTTTAGGGCTTAGGATTTCTGGTTTAGGATTTAGGGTCTAGGGTTTGAGAGCTTAGGTTTTCGTATCCCAGGGTATGATGCAACACGCCAGTCAGAAACCATGTGGGTGGTGGCCACGCGCCTGATTTCGAAGAGTTCGCAACAAGTAGGCAGGCTGTCCAACGTCCAGGTCTTAGAGTTAAGTGTTTAGGGTTTAGGCCTCTGCAAACAGGTCGTGTGGCCATGGCCGTATCATAGCAAGCATGACTTTGTTGATACCCTAAACCCTAAACCCTAAATGCATGACACTCGTACAACTCCGTTGGGAAGAAAAGCTTGTTGTTTTGCATCAT